TCAATAGATTTTCTTTTTAATTTTTGATTTTTCAATTTAAATTCGGTAGTATTTTTTTTTTTCAAAGCAAATAATAACAAAAATAAGTAATAACATATTATTCTAAACTCTCACTTAACTCACTTGAATTTCATCGTAAAAAAATAGAAATAGAAAAATAAAAAACTTCACTGAATATGATCAACTTCTTTAACTAAACTTTTCTAATATGAGAACCTAACCTGCATCTATCCATATTCAATTTGGAACTTTACTAGCACAGAATAAAAAACTCCCAAGGCACACTTGATCATTAAATTCCAAACAATTTCTCCTTACGAATTCCCAAGTTCTTATTACTTATCACATTTTGTGATTAACAATAGATAAATTACTGAAAAACAGTAACCCTATAAAACTTTAATTCATGATAAAACTATTGAGAACTGATCATCAATCTATTAATTTAATAACTTCATAAATTTGACGGTGTGTTAAAGTTATTTGGGTGCATTGTAAATTTGTAAAATACGTTGTTATATTATTCGAGTTCGAAGTATTAAATAAATTAAAACTATGCAATCTGACAAAAAAATCTATTATTTCTTACTATAGATTTTTAATTATTTTTTCAATAATATTATTAATAAACTGTTTTTTTTTTTTTTTATAATTACTAATATATTAACTAAAATATTTGTATATGTAAATTTAGGTAACTTAAACGAACAAAATTTTAAGCATTAAGTGGTTGGTACTTAGTTAAAGTTGTGGTTCATTTATTTGAAATTTAAAATGCTACAATGAATGAACAAAAAAGAAAAGAAAAGAAAAGCTATTCAACGTTTAAACATTAATATTTTTAGAAATTTAGGTAAGTAAGCTATACGTATTCTATTGCTGTTTCCGTTTTATAAATGCTTAAAATTATTATTTCAGTCACTGAAAGAGTTAGTGACTGTCAGTTAAATAGACCACTCCGTATGAATATATATACTCTAATATATATTATAGTATACACGCGTGAGACGCAAATAAAAATATATATTTCGGGCTTGAAACGTAATCGGGAAACGTCCGCGGTGCCCGTCTACTGTAGTTGAGGTCGGATCAAGCGTCTGTCCCGCGGCTGTTTGGCCGTAGCACGGTCGCCGCGGAACCTCGAAAACTGAAAAAAATATACATACCTATAATACCTATCTACGAAAAATAACGAATATTAAATAAATTCCATATTTTAAATATATACCATTTCATAATATAATACTATTGATGGGAGTATTGCAGTAATAAAATGTTCAATAAATTTTACGTTAAGCTTGCGTGTATTTTTTTTCTAGACACCTATTATTACAATGTATAATATTTTTACTTAATAATATTAATATTATCAAAAATTTTAAACAAGAGATCATTACATTTTTTATAAGGTATCGGGTAAAAATATATCGGTAAAATTACCGAACTCCCGTCTTCAGATTAATACCATTGTACATTTGTACAAAAAGATTTAATACAAAAACGCAGTCGCTTTTCATCCGACATTGTATTTATGAACAGAAATGCCTACGTCACCACACGGCACGTGGTCTGATGTCTTCCACTCCTCCATTTATTGATGACCGGTGTTTCTCGCGAGCCTTCATTTTATTTATTTCACACTCGAAACCTTATATTCGCGTTGTTTAAGTATAATTTACCGACCACAAACGCATAATACACAATATGCCAATCAAAATCGGCTGCGAGATATTGCTGTGAGAGTTCGATAATGCGTAATGAGCGCCTATCGGTTTCGTTACGCAAAATTTGATCGCGTAGTACTATATATAATGATAACATACTAACTATAATAAACTAAGGTATAATGAGCATATTGATAACGCTGACCTTGAAACAGTTTCTCGAGTCTACAATGAGACGACGAGGTTCGTCGCATATTTTGACAAAACTCCTGCGCCCTAACTGCAGCAATCCTATACATACTAATATAAGGATGTACTCAGTATTGTTAGTAAAAAAATTACAATAATTACTATAGTAACCTACCGAAAATACTTTGATATACCGAAAATTTCCGGGACCTATATACGTCTATACTTTATACATAACCATCATCCTTAATCTGTGTATTATATTCAGACTTTAGAGTATTAATCGAGGACATGCATTAATTCATAAACGTAAAATCGAACTATAAGTAGATTTTTTTCTAAATGATCTTATAGGTTATTAGCTTTACCTCGCCTCAATAATTCTATTGAATGAATTATTAGGTTATCGCTGTCATGAATATATTATTACTTAAATAAATATATATTAATATTTGGACATAAAAATTAGATCTTTTGACACTAATAATTAACCAACAGTATAAGGATTTTACTATATAAGTATATATTTATATTTTATATATAAATATAATATCTAATCCATATTAATTCATTATCATATTTGCTGCAAATTTAACCAAAATAATAAATATTTTAGTATAAACTTTGACAGCTTTTTATTCTGTAATTATAGAAAAAATAATGTAAGTCTTTAGTCACATTTCTCTAGATTATATTGTGTGTGTAGAACATTACAACAATGTAATACCTATATTATTTTTTAATCGTTGTAAGTTGTTTAAATAATAACAAATCTCATTGATCTCGCGAACAGAACTGTGTAGTATGTAGGTATTATTTGATAATATCCCTATTAATTTAGACTTTTAAATACCTATCTACTATTATTGTACTTATTATTATATTTGCATTATTGTATTAAGTAACATAGTTAAACTAATTGTCAAATGCAGATTGTAAATGATTATGTTTAATGAACCTATATATTGCAGTGAACATAATGATTAAAATCAGAATTTAATGAATCAATTTGAAATGGAAATTCGTATATCCATCATGTACAAAAATGGTTTTTTAATTTATTCTACTATGCATGTTTTATAATATTTTCTGATAAAAACTCTTCGCATTACAAATAGCATTTATAAATTAGGTATTATATTTATACGCATACCTACCTATTAATCAAATTTCCTACAAATATAGATACTTAAAATAATAAATAATCTATCCTGTTCAATGAGTCATAACTTTACTTTTCAGATTTGTCTATTGCTAATTGCTATACTTACTTTCAACATACACTTTTAAATTGTACAATTGTATAAATATACTCATCTATATTTATTATAAGTTATTATGCGCTTTGTTAAAGCTATAAAAATATAATAGTTGTAGGTATTTAATTTTATATTTTATAGTCGCGTTTTAAAATATATTATTTATTATCATAAATATTAAGGATTACAAACTTATCGCATTAATCTTATAAAAAACCTCGCATTTATCAACTGATGACTACATTAATTGTACATTTCTTTTTATTATTGTAATATTTGAAACGATAAATAATTTTGCATTACCTACTAAGAAATAATTATGATTTATGAATATAAATACAACATAATTAAAATCCAATAAAAAAGGGTAATGAATAATTATATAATTTTGCATTTTCTTCTTCTCTTTAAACTTTGTTCAATTTAACGTCAATGCCAAGGTTAACACATTTTTATCATGCACACCTGCGTTTTAATATTAATACCCTATACGTTATGAATTTGAATTTAAGAGAAAGATCATTAATAAATTTCATGAACAGTTTTATTGACATTTCGTAATACTCATACAATTTTTATAATACTTAATATAAAAATTAAATTCTATCGTTTAACAAATGTACCTATTTTTAAACCACATTTTATGGTAAATTGTTTAAGCAGGAAATTTGATTATCAGAAAAAAATGTGTGACAGTAAATTATAAATGATAAATAAATATTAATTTTTATTATATTGGATATATTAATAAATTCTATAAACATGATATTATAATCCATACCATCTTTCATCGAAATAATAACAAAAATTTGATACAAAAAAAGTTATGTTATATATTTTTCTATTACTCAATTTCAATATAAATTGTCAACATTTATTAAATGTATAATTTTTCAAAGATTAAAATCTATTAAGAAGTTTAGTGCATTTAAAAACTTATGAGGCTTACATTTAAAACATACACTAAGTTCAAGAAATACATCTAGCTAAATCTTTAGATAAACATCATTAAATTGTAAGTATAATATAAAAAAAAATAGATAATTGCATAATTAATGGTTTCAAAATTGAATTCAAAAATCGAATTTAATTTTTATATAATTATATTATATTACCAACTAAACATATTCCAATTTATACATGATGAATAATGTATAATATGCACTAATATAATATAAAAATACAAAATTAAATAGAATAAAAAATAATACGGAAAATTAGTATTAATAAACTGTACAAAACATCAACTTATAAGCAAATTATTGATGAATAATAAAATATAAATAACAGAGAAAAAGTGACAATATTTGAAAAGTGAATACGAATATTGGTTAATAAGAAGTTACAACTCAAATAAATGTCACGACCCAAATCAGTTATCTAGTTAATCTATAAAAAGTGATAGGTATGTTTTGTATTTTATCAAATGGCTTACACAAATAGTATTAAAATTAATCAATATTGGTATTAATAATAGTATCTTATACAACAAATCATTCATATTTTTGATTCCTTACGTTTTTTGTAATATTAATTATTAAATTATCATTTGCTTAAAAAACAAAAATTACAGTTTAATTTTAAATTTAAGTTAATTCAGCATAACCTTAAACATGGCAAACCTATAATAATATTTACAACCTATCTATAATGAATTAAAAATTTTCATTAAAAGTGTAATTTATGTATGAACAAATGTTCATACTTTAAAAAAAAATATGTAGCAATTACAAATGAGCTTGCACATTTTGTAACTTCAATAGTAGGAAAGTAAAAATAAGATATATTTATAGGCAACAAGATAATAAGCCAGTCGTACATACATAATTTATCATTTTCAAGCATGAGACAAAGACAAAATACGCAAAACAATTGAAAGCGGACTCACATTGGTTGAGATTGTCCATTACACTTGACGTGATCCACATTTCTGAAACCAGAAAATAATGACTTTTAAACAAACATCTATATGGTTTTGATGATAATAATTCCTCTAATTTTTGTATTGCGACCACTTAAAAATCAAGTACAATTTTTAAATATATTTATTATTGTCTATTTTAATAGTTAATATACTCGTAAGTATTTGAAAGAATTATTTTATGACAAGTTCACGGAACACCATAAATTAGCGCAGGCATGAAGTTTTAAGTTACATAATGATCTAAATAATCATATGATAGCTGAGAATATAAAATTGACAGACAATTTAATTATTTACTCACAAAAATATTAAATTTTTTTTCGAATTCGTGTGTCTATAAAATATAACAATGAAAAAAAAAAAATAAAAAAAAAATTTTTTAAACTTACTTAGTCTCATCCATGTTTTAAAAAATTTAATTTACCATTTTTTTCAACATCAGTCGTTTATGGGAACTAAACACTAATTAATCGTAATTAACTGTAGTAGGTATGTATAAATTAATAATAGAACACATATGTGGTGAAATCGACGGAAGAACTGATACTGAATTAACAATATTTCTTTGTATAAACATTTGTAAATATGGTCTTGGTTATCTCTAATAAGTTTCTTCAAACAAGACCAAGGACCTTTCATTAAATATAAATATACCTACTATGCCTAGTGGCTATTATAGGCTGTATAGTCAAACAATTCAGTGATAATATTCAACGTATGTAGAAAAAAATTTTCTTTTACTCGAGATAATAGATAATTATTTTAAATGAAAAACAATATTATAAGTAAAAAAATGCAACTAAAATAATAATAATAATAATAAGTTGATAATAAAAACGCATTTTTAAAATAACTGTATTGAATTTAAAATATATTTTTACTCACACACCTATTCTTAATCATATAAATGTGCGTGCTAGAACCAAAACTTGCAATCAAGTTGTTGTTAGAAAAACGAAAAATTTGAATGATTACAAATTATTATTTTGTATCGTATTCAATTGAATAATTTTATTTTTGGCGCAAATACCGCTGTGATCTATTATGATTATCGCACAAGTAGGTACAGTGAATGGATAATGATTAAAAAGAAAGCTCAACTGACTACAGATTTTGCCTGATAAAGTATTTTGCCCAACAAGTAGGTTTTTTTTAACTAAATTAAATTTGTATATATAACATATTTATAAAACCAAAAGTCTAAAATTCAAGAAAATACTCAAAAATTGTGAAATATGCATACAAAGACTACTATAAACAAATAATAATATTTATAAGTGATATAAATAAGTAATACCTATACATTATAATATTACATTTATATATACCTAACCTACTCGTTGCAGTATTATATTATGTTTGACGTTCGTCGTAAATGCGTGGTTAAAACACTGGACGTATATTGTAATAATTGTACGTATCCTGTTTGATTATCTCGTTGGATGATAAAAAAAAAAAAAAAACTGAAGAAGAAATATTCGTAATTGCACATTACTGCAACTCACAAGGAATACATCATTAAATACCTGTATAATATATGTTATTATTAAGTATAATATTTTGTACATAGTTTTAAGTTGCATAACATGTAACAAACGCCTCTTTTATAATAATTATAAACTAATTTATTCTTACATAGAAAGGTATAGAGATTCCTTAGATACTCTCGTTTTTTTAGGTCGGATTATTTAAATACATATTCATAATAATGATAGTGTTTAACTGTGTGTATATACAGAGTGATTCGCCGAGCACGATGAACCCCATTTTATCATTTATATACATATTATTGATTTAGTCAAACTCTAATTTTTTTTTTTTTTAGTATACTAATGACCATTTTTCAAGTATTATAGGACTGTGGAAACTATTATGATTCAAAAATTTATTGATATTAATTTATTAGTATTTTATTATTTATAAATATTGCCCAAGTATAAATATACGTACAAAACTAAATAATATATTATATCTATTTTATAAATTATTAAAACAAGCACCTATATTATCTTCTAAAACTGAATATTATGAACTACTATTCTTGCTACCTAAAGGTTAATAACTCAGGAACTATTCGATTAATTTTGATTTAGAAAATTACAAAAAAAAAAAAAAATTTCATAAAATGTATTCAAAATATTTTCAAATAAAGTAAAGAACATTTTTTTTTGTCACAAGGCGTATAATCTTTAAGTAATATAAAAGCATAAATTCTTATTATGAAGTAATTTAAAATATTATGGCTTTCAATTTTTTTTTAAGTTCCTATAGATATAAATACATGTATAGTTAGAGAATAAAATGTGGGGGTGAGCACTTCTGGAAAATTACTCTGTATGCGTACCTATATTTACAATCTGACTGCAGCTGCGATGGCAATGCTTGGAAGTGACACGCAAATCGTAACACGACGTAGGTATGTAAAATATTAAAATAAACTCGTGATTGATCGTATAAATAAATATTATTTTTTTTTTTTTTTTTTATGTACCTTGCGCGTTGTTGTGTGACTTTGGCGGCAAACCTATCACCATTACTCTGGTCTTCAATATAATATATACACATTAGACATATCAACATATTAATTAGCAAGAAGTATAACCGTTTACCATAAATTATAATTTCATTAACACTGAATAGTTTTAGCATCAAATCACTATCAATATTTAATTTATTTTTGAAATCAAATTAAGTTTTAAAGGCTCTTTTACATAGATAGGTTGTCGAAAAGGCTATCAAGTGTCTTAATGCGATTTTGGCGACAATTTGGCAATGGATAGTCTTGCTGAGCACTTATCGAAAGCGAAACCTAGTCATTTAGCTAATCTAACTAGAAATATAGACATTTACAATATAATATAAGAATTTCAATATTGGTACTAATCAGCATAAATTAAAATTTACTGGCTCTCAGCTTAGATTCTCGACCAGCGTTTGTGGCTCATTACTATATTGCCTGTGGTCCATGAGCTGGAAATCATTGGTATATTATATTATATGTGTATACAGTATAGTTATTATCACTTATTAAATAAAAATAGTGAATTTATTTTAATGAAAACCTTTGGAAAAGAACATCTTATTTTCCATGTGCATTTTATTTTACACAGATTGCTATAATAATGGGCATAGGTATATCCTGAATATATTCATAAATATTATAAAAATATAACCATGACTTGACTTGTTAGTGAAAATATGAGTAAAAATATTTTTTTATGTCCCGGAGTTTAAGTCAATTAAAAAGCAGGTTGCTAGGGCTCACAAGATATAAAATGCTATAACTCATAATATGTCGACGATTCACTATTAACGAAAATACACACGATATATTAAATGATTTAATAATATAATATTAATATGCTCAGTATTACGAGTATAAAACGATGTTTTTTTATCATAATTTTCAATAGTTGGTAAAACCGAAAATAATTTGCTTATAAACCTTATAAAATTATATTACCTTAAATTTAAACATAGAAACAATTTTTTAACCATATTAAGTATAGTAAAATTAATATTTTCTATAGTTAATTATTTTCATGTTTGGAATTAACTTTTCAAGTTAACGTTCCATGCGTTTGTATAACATTATGCAAAAATATATCTATAGGTATAGTTGTATACAGTTACCAATCGAGGTAAGAAAATAAATAGTAATCGAACTCTTAATTCGATAACTCGTTAATAGCCATTGTTGTTAAGAGAGTAAGTACATAAAAAGATACAAACATATATGCCTACAAGTACTTTAAATACGTTGTAATCTTAAGTTGTAGCACGTATAAAATATAAAATTATTGCTGATCACACGTACTTGCAAATCTGCGTAAAGGATGTTATCCTTTAATCGACGATAGTGAATCATCAGTATTGTTGGCTGTAGTCCAACCAAATATTAGGGAAAATATTTGCAAAAAGAATTTTAAGGAAGACGGATTAATAAGTAATTATGGTTATTTTTTTATTTTATTATTACAATTATTATATTAGTTTAAAAAAAAAATTCATAGTATTAAAAACAATAAATTTATTTAATATAAAACAGCAAAGTCATAATATAAACATTTATAAGTACTTAAAACCATAATTTCCAGCATCGATAAAAACTTTTATGAAAGCCTTTGTCACGTGCTTAATATGTAATGGTTATAGAATGCATCACACATTTTCAAAATGTACTAAACATTTTTTTTTTTTTTGCCATGTGTAATGGATATCTGACATTGTAATTTATATACATATAATACGTTATCAATTATTTTATATTTTTGTAACACAGTTATTATAGTTATTGTATTTTTGCAACTGATAAAACTAAAACAGAGGAATTTTACACATTAGTAGATCATCGAACTGAATTTTTTTTCGTTACAGTAAATTTTAATTTATCATACTTAATTGATAGATTCAGACTGAGAGGTATCAAATTACCATATACCAATTCACTGAACCCTATGTTAATCAATTCTACAATAAATATTTATTATACATAATATTTTTATTAAAATTTTGATCTTATAGATGACGTTATTACTTAATACAGATAGGTAACTTATATAATATTTATTTCAGCACTTGACTCATTTGCTTATTAGTTATTACCTATTAATCGATACAATAAGAGAAAATTAGGTGCGAAGCTATGCGTTTGAGTGTCCATTACGCGGGGAAATTGTTTTGACACAAATTACTAATTAATATAATACGCTCGTCGGATGAGGAATATATGCGTAATAATATGACATATGGTAATTTTATTATAACTCTGCAATTTGCAGTTAAAACTAACAGAGCGAGAAAACAACTATAACAGACGTTAAAAAATGTAAATAAAAAACAAACTGATACATTTGAAAACAAAACCGAAACCGTGAAATATCCTATGGTTGTAGACAAGAGAACAAAATTAGAAATCGTAAACGGGTAAATATATAATTATCATCACATTATATGTATTATACGAATAAATATATTATCATATTGAATTCATGTACGTGAGCAAG